ACCTAAGTGACCTAAGGTTTCAAGACGCTCAGTTTTATTTTATAAAGCTAAATTGACCTATCTATAGTCTTTCTTCTTTTCGTAATACGAACTGACAACAAATCTGACACTATCGTAGCTCCTGGTCGAAGGTGTGTCTTCCTAAATAATCTCTCATTTTAGACGAAATGTACATTTACGCATAAATTGCATTGGACATTACAAGAATATAATGTCGGTTTAGACTAATTAAACCGGACTATTTAATTGGGACATTCCATCATTCCGTTCGTCAATCCGGTATGTACGTTGTACACGTCGGAAATGTAATTACGTTCTTATTGGAATAAATCATATAAAGGACGTGAAGACGAGAACACTAAAACCAATCTTTTCTTTCCTTTTGCATGAGGTTTTGTGGAATTTACATAAAGCTATCAATTAAGTTGGAGAAATCGTAGAATTCTTTTTGTTTCGAACTGTCTAACGGGAACGTCTTGATTCTTGTTAATAATGTGACGACAAGCGCACCTGTTGCGTCCGTAAAGTATTTTGGACTCGGGTGATTAACCCCACTATGTCCGTTGTACTAATATTCGTCAACCTTGCTGTAGGTAGAGTACAGTTACCTTCAAACAGTACCACAGGAGGTACAGTTACTCCTCTTGTACTTCTCGGAAGGAAGGGAGAAGGAAAACTAGAGGAGTGTAGGGAAGAGGAGGAGTAGAGAAGCGACTGACATGAAAGAGGAGGTTACAGCGACGATAGTCTGTAGTACTTTCTAAGTGTCGAGGACGGAAAAATTGTGTAGAGGTTGGGGGGGGATGTGAGAGCGTGTTTGTGTTCTGTTGGCACGTAAGTATATAGACTCGGGACAGATCCTTCTTGTTACAGTCCTACCTTCAACCTAAAAATGTTGGTTCCCTTTCCATGGCAACTAGATTTCCATAAGATAGCAAACCAGTAAACATGCAAAACAATTATAATTTACATTGCAATAATGTTTATATTGATGAAGCTTAATATTCTGTATGTAATGCTCCCACATTAAAATACACATTTACATTCTACATAGGAACCCATTATCCAGAATGACTGTGGGTAAAGGCCCAATAGATTAAATTCCTCCATTGCCAACAGATAATGAGTAAAAGTGATAAATGCCACGGTCGTAAGGCCATCCTGCATCCTGATCACATATACTGTATGAGGAGTGGTGTGGTGGAGGGGGGAGAACTGAGGAGCAAAAGCACAAATCGTTGGATGCCTCAACATCAATCTTTGCACCTAAAATCAATGTGGTACAAACCAGCATCGTTTCTCGATAACCTCTGTCTCTCTTTTCCTCCTCTCCTCTCTCCCACAGCTCTAGTTCACACCTCCCCCCTTTGTTCTCTACCCGCCCTTTAATGTTGCTTCCTCCTTCTTATCAGCCGCTATTTTTACTTTCTCCTCCTCCCAGCCCTCCTCCTCTCATCTTTCTCCCCCTCTTTGGGAGTCGAGCATCCATCTGTTTTCCAAATGAAAAGATGCACTGTTTGTCTGATGTGGTGGACTCGGTGGTTGCTTGGTTGCTTTATGGGTCAACGTTCATACATATGCTTCACGGCCATACACTGTGTGTGTGTGTGTGTGTGTGTGTGTGTGTGTGTGTGTGTGTGTGTGTGTGTGTGTGTGTGGGTGTGTTTGTGTGTGTGATAAAAAAAAAATAATGTTTAATGTTTTATACCTATCATAATTTGGTTATTTTTGTCTCTAGTGTTCAGTTCAATTAGTTTTGTAAATCTGTCATATTTAAATATCTGTTTATTTAGCTATACGATTAACAGCGTTAATGCAATATTTAACAATTTTATTGCAAATGGCAAAGGTGAATTGAATAAATTAGGAAAAATAATCTGTGGAATAATTTATAATGAAGAAAATATCTACTACAGTTCAACTTATACTGATTAATTAATGTTCAGCAAAGGGTTGAAACCCATTTTCCTTGTGCATTTTAATTTACATCTGTATCTTTTTCATCTGATTAAGAAGAATGATGAGCTCATGTTCATTAAGTTATATCATACAATATTTTTATAAAGGTGCAAAATAGTTTACACTCATCCTTCACTTGTTCTTAAAAAGTATAACTTCTTATGACAGTGGATTCGGCAGGCGTGGATCAGCTGAGTGAGCTCACCCTGCGTTTCAGCTCACAGCTCCTAGCTCTGCATTTAACAGTCATGCATTGTGGTTTGTATTTTCAGCGAAGGACATGACTGAAATCTTCTCACTGGCTTATCTACAATGTTAGAGAACGTACAGTGAGGCTCTACAGGGCCTCTCATTTCTATCCATTGTGTAGTACAACGATTGGTTATATTGTTGTTGTTGTTAATTTGAGTCATTAGTACAGCATATATTTCATCAGATATAAACAAGATCAGTCCAGTTTTCTACAATGGGGATTTATCATTTTGTAATGAACTGATTGTTCTCAATTATATTATAATTATAATACACAGTCAGTTGCCATTGGCCACGGTCCGGAAACAAAAATCCTATTTTCATGGAGGAGGATTTATTGCAGGGTGCAGAGAGGCTCTTCGGTTGTTCAACCTAGCCTGATTTTTATAAATGAGCTGGACCAAATAATAGAAGCACTTGCTATTGTAATGCAATACAGTTTACTAGCAGCACACACTACAGCCTCCAGAAAGTCCATAACATTGAGCCAAAACAGGGAAAACTAAACATTCTAATAGTTTTATTGCAGGACTAACTATTATTTTTACATATTTAGCTTGGTGTACCATGGCACCTAATTGTTGGTTATATATCATTGGGTTTTAATGATTTAAAAATCAGCTCAACAAAGCACAATTCAGCTTTCGTGACTCGTGAGTTTGTTGTTTATGCAAATAAACGTAATAATTGTCATTAATGTACTGATTTTCATTTTTTTTTTATAATAACCTCAAGATGCTGCTACACAGAGTCAGCTGATTGACAGTCAGGACTAAGATATTGATTACATTTATAAAGGAATAAAAGAACATTTAAATATGATTTGTCAAGTATAAACCTGAAAATCACAAATAAGACACAATGTATTTATCTTGGAATTCGTACTCAGTTAGCAGCCAGGAATATTTCCCCCTCATATTGGATTCAGTGTGTTGAACACGATCATTTTGTTCAATGTGCTGTACAGTCGCCAGGGGAAACATTACATTATTATAGATAATCACATACTGTCGTTTGTAAGTATTTTCCTAAACCCCAGTAGGGTTTTTATCCGTTTTAGAGCTTGAATTGTCTCTGTGAGTAGATTTTGTAGAAGATAACTTGTCCTGACAGAAGTCACTACCACACATGTGCATGCACACTTACTCCCTGACCCCTGACCTGTGTGTGGAGAGTTTTATCGGAGGCTGATCTCACCCGTTTGTAGCAGGTGTGTCTGTCACGGCTCTACAAGGTAAAACATAGCAACCGAGAGGAGTGATCATCTATGACACATTGCATGTTAGTAGAGTGAAAAGGTGATTGATCGTAATGTAGAGGTGTGTATATTAAAGGTCAGATCAATAAGGGATCATGCTGTAGCTCTCAAAGTGTTTCCAACTGCAGCATGTCACCCCCTCTGGATATCTCATTGGAGGTGTGGATAACTAATAGAGAATGTGAGACCAAATGCTGCATCTGAAGAAAGAATCCATGTGTGTGTTTTAATGTCAGTTTGTGCATGTGCGTCCTATAATTAGACATGCTTCTATATGTTGTGTTTATCTGAGCTTTACTTTGCTCCGTACAGCAAGTCTCCCTAAACACAGAATCCTTTTAGTCTCCCGAGTGTCAGCTCCGAGGCCATTTCATGTTATTTCTTATTGTTATTTTATGGCTTTTCTGCTTTATTAGATAGTTTGCCATGGGGACTGATGGAGAATTGTTTTCGATAGAGGTGGCGTACTGCATAAAAACTGCTCCTTGGCTCATAACATTTTGAAGACACAAGTGCTTTCAATGAAATGTAATATATACTTTACCTTTTCCCCACTTTTCTTTTGAATCTTGTCAAAAAAGTGCTACAGTATAGTCTTTCTATATATCAGTAAATCAAATAGATTTTCTGCTGAAAAAGCCCTTTTTTGTTGATAAATACCTATGATATCTTAAGCACATTGGCGATGTTCTTGTACTACAGAGGTTATTTGGTCTCTGAAAATGCCATTGGTATCCAGAGCTACAGAATAAGGATGTTAGTGGTTTGTTGGTGGTTTTGCTTGCCCTGCAAATCTTAGGATCCAGCACCGTATCCCTAGGAATTATAAACATATTTAACAATTCAGCACATGATTTACATCCAAAGCCAATGTTACAAATGCAGGAAGTTGCGTGCTATGTAAAGTGAGGCGGAGAGTAGGAGAGGTTTGGCTGATGAAGTAGCATTTAGCACATCAGGCTGGCATGCAGAAGAAACTCAAGTTCCCGCAACAGAGCTTAACCATATTTTATTGCCCATAACCACAGTCTCTGCCTAGTCTTAACCAGAGTTTCCATGCACAGATATTGTAATGGTTTTAGAGTCAGTGTTGCAGTTCTTGTTATCCGTCTTGATTACATGTTGCTGCATGCAAACCTGATTGAAACCCTGAATGATCAAATTATCAGTGTGAATGATGCGACCTATTTGAGGTGAAAACAGAAAAGTGCGCGGGGTGCTCACCCCTTTTAATAACATCTTTACCTTCAAAAGTTCCCCTTAGACACTTCTGGTTTTTCCATAAAACACCCACTTTAACAACTGCATGAAAGCTAAGGAGGAAGCTTTTCAAGAACAGAACTTAGTTTTCACTTTGTTGGTTTCAAACCCATATTTTTCAAACATGTTATCATTTTTTTATTTAGTTAAACTTAAGATAACCCTAATGTCCATCTTCATTGATCCGCCAATCTGAAACGATGTGCCAGTTCACCCAGCAGCTCTAATCAGGCAGCAAGTGCCACATTCATTTAGTTTGTCCACTGTTCTGACATTTAGGACTTGACCTGGAAACGGCCGACCTGAGGCTGTGACCCAACGTCTCCCTCCCCCTCAGAGATGTATTGCTCCCCGCTGAGAAAGGGCAGGGATGGAGAATCGGCCTCCAATGTGCTCGTTACCCCCCCTCACATCCAAACACTCCCACACTCCACCTTCCCATCAAAACCAAAAGCGCGGTGCATTTGGATTAGAGACTGATGTCTAATCTCCTGCTAATCCCGGCCTGTTAATCTACATGTTTTTAGCTTGCAACATTACAGCTAATGCACCGACCTTGCCGTAGAGGGAATAACTAAATCTCTCCCTGCGTTATTCCATATTTGTCTCTGTCTGTTTGACCTTTTCGGCATGTTTACATTTGCAGAAAGTGTGATTATTTTATACTCTCATTTGAATTCCTCCTCTCCTTCGGATTGGTCACAGGTGAACATGATCTCTTGTTTAGTTTACGGTCAGCTAGGGTTAATCCCAGCAGTCAAAGATAGCTGTCTTGATCTTTGCCCTCAGTAGAATTATCCTCATACTTACACAAACGTGCACCGTCAGACTCCGAGTCTCCGCAGCGTGGCACCCACCAGTTGCCACTTGTGCTTTTTTACAGTCTGAGTAAAGGGGAGTAAAAGTAGTACTTAGTTTAAGAGCCTTTAACTACTCCCAGAAATGACATAGAATTATGGTATTATACGGTGGAGTTGGTGCCAGTGAGCACACACACTTGCTGGGCTGCAGACAGGGCCGGACTGTGGGGCGGTGGGGTATTTTTAGTTTAGTAATAGTATAAAATAAGCTAAAGTCCATCCCAGAACAGTGAGCCTACACCTCCCACTGCTCCTTTCTCAGCCAATTTACTCTGTCTTTTATTTTTAAACTAACATTTTCTCATTTTTATACCCTTTCATTCCCTTTTTATTTCATGTTTACAAGTCGGGTTTTCCAGGCCTTCAAAGCATCAGCAATCACATTATTCATGGTCTTGTTTGTTTGTTTGTTTGTTCTCATTAAAATTGCCTGTATTGGAAACAATAAACCCAACATTTATGTGTAATGAGCTCAGTAAATGTGTTATATAAAGAATGAGCATAACACCGCTATGTAAGCTAAAAAATACCAGTCCATCACTTTGTTTCAGACTGAAATATCTCAAAACACATTTCATTGTGAGAATGTTAGCATGCTGATGTTAGCATTTAGCTCACACACCACATTCAACCTTACAAAGCTGAATTCATGGCGGTAGCCTTTAGGTCTTGTTGAATAAAGGACAACTAACATTTATTTTAATTATGGTTTAGTCTAATGAGCATTCTCTCAACTATTGTATTAATGATATAGTAAATTGGGAACAAAAGCAGTGTTCAGAATGCGTTCATGTACATTCGTTTAAAATACCAATATCTTTTCTATCAGAAATGCCATGTTATGCACATGAAAATATATAATCGGAAAATGATTCTGTTTGAAGCCACATAAAACAAAGTAAAGCACACATTAAAGAACTGCCTAGGGAAAGTTTGTTGAGAGACTTTAGATTAATAAATCATAAAAAATATTATAAATCATTCCACCTTGGCTTTGAATTCAATTTGCATTTACAAGAGACTTTTGCAGGCTCCTTTCCAATAAACATGCAATATTGATATAAGACAAGCAGCTTCGTTGATTTGCATGTTGACCAGCTTTGCTCGCTGTGGAAAAAATCTGATGAACCGTCACAAAACTGCAGTGCAAGTCATTTTTGTGACGATAGAAAATCATGTTCAATGAAGTGTCAATCAATTACGCTGTCAGTTTATGAGAAAGCGTGAATATATCAGCAAAAAAAGAGGAGTGTGACTTAAATCACAGGGAAAAGATGTAAGCTAGAGATTTATTAGACACTTAGAAGTAGATTACAGCTTTATAATTTACTCCATTTCCCCTTTTTTCTCTCTCTGCTTCTTCTTCCGCTGATCTCCTCTCTCCCACCGCTCCCTCTCCTTTCATTTCCATTTTATTGCTTTCTCTTCCCTCCATCTCTTTCCTCTTTCATCATTACAGCTCTGTGGCTCTCTCTTCCCCCCCCCCCCCCTCGCTTTTGGGTGGATAGTAAAAAGGTAAAAGTGTACTTTGGGAGAAAGGCCATGTGGAACGCTAAATCACATACAGGTGCCCTAAGAGAGTGTGAGGTGAAAACACACACACACACACACACACACACACACACACACACACACACACACACACACACAAAGGCACCATCAGCCCCTCATTTAGGAAGCAGTAATTTGCCGCAGTAAGTGACAGGGTTATTGTAAGACGCTCATTAAGAAAGGGAAGCAGCGAATAAACGTCTGACTGAAGGGAATAAATTCAAACCAGTGCGCCACTTTTACTGCTTAGCAATAAGCCGCTTTGATGTGGTGTGTGATGGCAGGGCTGGGGCAGACTCAGGGTGTGTGTATGTGTTTGTATGTGTGTGTCAGAGTGGTAGTTACATCTCCTAACACAGATGTTACACTTTTTTTTAATCGTGATCACAGTATCTTGTTATTTTCTGCGTGTATCATGTAGATTATACAGTACGAGTGCACTTCAATATGTACTCTACATGTAAATCCTTTACTAGTTTAAAGGGTTAGAGGTCAGAATAGTTATTATGAGACAGACTGTTACCGCGGTGCCAGGTCACTTCCTATAACAGACTTTCATCTCAGCGGGAGAGAGGAAGGAGAAAAGAAAAAGAGGGATGAGTGGTGGACATAAGAGGAAAGGAAATTAGACCCGATTGGAGTTAAAAACAGCTGAAAGAAAGTGCGATGTGTTTTATCCCATAGTATTGGGTGTTGCATGACATTGAACATTGATTAATTTAATTAGAATAATGATCAACAGTGACTTCATTCCATTACAAGAGTTCATCTTTTTAGCCAGTACCACTTGATCCAAACTGAAATCCCCATAAGGACAAACCTTCTGACTTCTGCGATCCTTTGACTTTTCCTCTAGTGCCATCAGCCATTTGACATTTTGGTTTTTTGAGGGGCATGTCTCAACAAATATTGGACTGAATTTGGGGCAGACATCCATAACCAGTTTAGGAGGAAAACACACAGTTGCACCATTTGTTCAACATTTGTGATTGTTTGTATTTCTTGCTGATGCACATTTCCAAATTACTGCAATTCACTTGGTGAACGCACTGTTTGTATATCTGAAATGATGGCCAGAGCGATTAAAAGTATGACTGGTGTTGTAATAAACAGGAATTATCACCTAGAGACTTGACTGTTTCGTTCATTTAATTGAAGAGAAGTGTTTGTCAAACTGTAGTTGTATTCCTTTGTCAGCAGCTGAAACAGGTTGAGCAATGGGCTAACATCTGGAAACTAGTCATTGGAGAGACTTCAGTTATGCTTTACAGTGTGCTGATTCAGCTCCAGCTTATATTGCCGACCTGTGAGAGGGATTAGTCTGCAGTGTGGCTGCAGGTTAGATGTGTGATGGAGCATTTTAGTGGGCTTAAAGTGTAATTGGATTTACACGTCTCATTTAACCAGCTAGATGCCTCGACAATCCCAGATATTGGAAACATCGCCTGAGTTTCTCAAGTATAGCAAAATTGATCTAGTATTTTCCACGCTACACAAGTAGTCTTTAATTAAATATAATTACAGAAAGTGCAACTTTCTAACAACATTTTTACCCAGGTCAGCAAAGTTTAGCCATGTTGGTACTTTATTGTGATTAAAGCTATAATTACAATGTCTGGCTTTTAAAAAAAAAGAGATGTATTCATACCTTGGGGAAGTAAGTTACTATGTTCATTAGTGTGAATGCTGTTTACAAATATTATACATTATTGGTGACATATGGTTTTAGTTCAAACATTTGCAGTTACAATATTCTGTTGCTTTTCAAAGTGTTTTTACTTTCTTTTCTCTTCTTAATACACATTCATTCACTACTACTTACATTTAATATCTAACTCCTTCAGCCTACTTTCAGCTACAGAAACCATTCAACTATTAACTTGTTCAGCTATTTCAGGACATTGAGGCTATACATGTTGTTGTTTATACCTTATTTTAAACCTTTTCTTTTACATATTAAGCTTCTTCACTATTTTTCCTACTCTTGCAGTTTAACATTTCCCTTTCAAGTTTTCAACAAAGTCATTGCAATGCATTTGAGCTGTAACAATTTGTTGTTGCTAAGTTCAGCAACAAATATACACAGTTTACAACATTCGCACACATTTTCAGCAGGAAATTCATTTTCTAGTTTGTTTTAGCATCTGTGTTTGACAGTTTTCTAAAACACCAACAATTGATGTGTTAAAAGCTTTACGCCACACATTACAAGCTGTGTGTGTGTGTGTGTGTGTGTGTGTGTGTGTGTGTGTGTGTGTGTGTGTGTGTGTGTGTGTGTGTGTGTGTGTGTGTATCTGTGTATCTGTGTGTGTGTGTCTTCTCATAAGACCCCACAGAGTGATGGAAATAGGTCCTTTTTCATTTTAGCTGTATGAATCTTACCAAGTAATTAAAAACAATCGGCATTGTGTTTTGATGGCATTGTGAGTTTCTTCCGTTGCCATACTGTTTTAATGCAGTTCTTTTTTTCTTCCCAGAGTGAGATACAGTTACCAGTAAAAGACATACAAAAAAAACCCCGCAAATAAAATTGTGCATTAAAAGGCGGATGCAAATTCACATTGTGATTACCCATCGAATTTGGCAGCAAATAATAACACAAAATCAGGTTATTATGACAGGATCCTAAAACAACATTCCAGTTGGTGATGAACGTTGGATGCTGTGTCTGTATGATCATTCTTTAAGCAGAGAGAAAACAACAAAAATTCCCATGAAGATTAAACCTGAACTTGCCCAGAGAGGAAATAGCAATAATCAGTTTGTAGCCCCGAGCCAAGCCAATAACGCTGTCTCTCATACGAACCAGAAGTCTAGCACCATGACACTATAAAAATAAGAAATGCATTAATTAAACTGCAAAACAGAGATAAACAGACAGTTGCTGTCAAGTGTGTAAATCAATTGCTGTATCAACAGTGTCCTGTCTTTGATTTAAACTGGGTGTTGCCAGAATATTTGACTTGGCTTAAAGTTTGTTTGGCTCGATGGGAGTTTGCTTTGAGTTTCAATGTATTTCTACTGTAGAAGTAGAAGGTGTCTGAGCATAATCTGGATTATACAGTATCAATTTAAGGGATAATGTGCAGCGAGGCGGTCATTATGGGGAAAAGAACACCGGACAGCCTGAAAGGTGTTCTTTTCCCCATAATGACCAAGTCACTGCACATTATCCCGCTTATTACCCGTCCAGATACTAAACAAACTATCGACTCGACTCCCAATATAAATTGAAATGATTTTGTGGACTTAAAAATTATCGTACTTCTTCCGCTAAGAAAAAAATGAACTCTGTTCAACGGTGCTCCAACGGCTAAAACTGAGACAACAACAACTTTACGGCAGCACTGTCGAAGTCTGTTCACAGTTTCTGATCCACTAACAAGTCCTTAAACATTGCAGAGCCCATACCATGTTCCTGTTAGTGTTTACTTCCTGTCTGCCTTCTTCTGTTCATTTATCTGACGCTCAGCGCTCCGTCTTTTAACCTCTTTTCCTTTCTCTCTCTTGATCCTCTTCAGCAACGGTCATAATAGTCCTTGACAGCTGTCTGTACTACTGTATTAACAACGTGTCACATGTTCTTAATTGTGATCAATATACAACTAAGCTGTTTAATATACGATACGATACAATGCGATAATACGATACGATAATACTTTAATTGTCAGATCAAGTCTGAAATTTGACTTGCATCACAGCAGCTCCATGTGTAACATCAACATAGACAAATATCAAGAAACAATACATGAATAACAAATAACAAACATTTAACATAACAGCACAATCACTGAGAGAAAACATTTTCTATGCCCCTTTAGCATGCATTTGATCTAGGGAATATATAGTTTTAACAACTGAAGGGTCTGTAAATGCCACACTTCCTGTCACTGAGTGGTTTGGATTGAGCTTTTTGCCGCCTGGCTTTCTGTCCGCCTGCAGTTTTTTTCGCAGCGTACCTGTTCACCTGCTTGGCACACGTGCTGATTTGATTTCTGGTTGACTTGTTGAGGCGGGCTCAGGTATGTGGGGGCTGCCACAAGGAATGCAGGGAATAAAAAGCAGACTGAGCAGGAGGGTGTGACAGGGAGAAGAAAGTGAGAGCCAGATGCCTTTGATGGAAAGAGGAAATGAATGGCTAAGCAATGTTGTCTTGATGTGGTCTCCATGGCGACCTGTGTAAGCTGTTAAACGTCTGCAGGCCAAGCCGAAAACAAGTTTTTAATTAAGTGGATATACTAATGATTAAGTGCAAAAATACCTAGCAGCTGAACAAGGCTCTGCAGTTTCTCTAAAGCAGCACTTAGCTTGGGAGGGCTGTGGGAGACTCTGATGTTATACTTGGCACAATATCAAGCCTTAAATTAATTTATACCATATATATCAGACGTCTCCACATAATCAATACTAAAGAATTTACCTCATCAGGATTCATGCCAGTGTAACAAGGTGAATAAACTATTTCTAATAACCAGGGTAATCTGGGTTTAACAAGACGTTGCCTTGACTGCATTCTTGACTCAGAGTTTATGGAAAGCTGATTGAGGCCATAACGTTGTCGGTTTGAGTCCCTGTGCTGCGGGTAAAATGTAAGAAAAGAAATTGAGCAGTGGCCAAAGATAAAAGTCTGTAATAAGAAGCACTCAGGGTTGATTGTGATGATGATTGCATTAATATGAAGCAGAATTGTACTGGATGGGAGCCAATCTGACCTTTTCCTGCATCCATGAATGTTCAAAAATATGAGTGGGCAATGATTAGACAAGAGCATTTAAAGTGAGTTTTTTGTTTTTTTTACCTTCAACCCATTTTAACTGCCAGAAGCATCAAATTCGCATCAGTCAGATGGGAGAGAGTCTCTCCTGTAGCTGCACTCTCTCAAGTTTCATCATTGTTTACAGGGCTGCAGGAAGTCTCTTTCTGATGATCAGGTCCCCTCTAGGAGGCAATAATAGCTGGTGGAAATCTTTACCGCAGATGTTTAGACACCACTTTACTTTTTATTGGGAAGAGACTAGGCTACTATACTACACATAAGTTGACTTCAACTTGTTAGAATTTCAAACTGCGTCTGAAACCTCTTCTGACTTTGTTTTTACTTTCTAAAATCTGCAACACAAGAATCCTACTTGAGCATCAATTGACCAGGTGCATGCTTTCTCACTCTGTGCCAACCTTAATGTTTTCCACAGTGCTCAACCATTGACATATTTTAGGATACACTTTCCATCTTTGAATGATCACAAGCCTTTCACATCGCCTTTGACTCTGAGCCGTTACAACTTGTTTTTTTAGGGTGAGGGATGTATTTCAAAAGTTAGTTGTGATGCAAGTCAACATAATACCTGTCTTCTCAAGGC